AATATACTTTTTATACATAGAAGAACTGAGAAAAATATTCATCAGGAAAGCTACATCTTAAGAAACACTGTAAGAAGTTTTTCTTACTTAAAGAACATGGTCCCAGATGGAAGCATAGTATCACAAGAAGGAATAAAGAGCCCAGCCAGTAAAGACCATTGTAATCTCTAGGGGAATTATTTAAAAGAATGTTACAAAGAGAAATAAAAACTGAAGAACTAATAGAGGAGTTAAAATGGAATGATTCAAATTAGCTGGTTAAAGCATTTAATTTCTCCACATTTCTGATAAAAATAAACATCAAACCTTTTAGCATAGTACATATACAAGTGCTTCATGATCTGACCCCATGTGCCTCTTCAGCCTTAATTCTTACCATGCTCCTTCTAGAACTCAGCCATATAAACTAGGTGTAGTCCCCTTAGAAAACTATATTATTCATACCAAAAACAAACAAACAAACAAAAACTTCATTGCTATCAAGTCAGGAGCTCTGGTAGTCTAGTGCCTAGGGTACTTGACTGCTAACCAGAAGGTTGGAGGTTCAAACCCACCAGCCACTCCTCAGAAGGAAGACTGGGCAATCTACTTCTGTAGAGATACTGCTTCGGAAACTCAAGGAGGGGTCGCTATGAGTTGGGTCCGACTCCACGGCACATAACAACAACAACAACAATAGCCGTCAGGTCCACTCCTACTCATAGTGACCCCTCCTTGGGTTTCCGAGGCAGTATCTCTACAGAAGTAGATTGCCCAGTCTTCCTTCTGAGGAGTGGCTGGTGGGTTTGAACTGCCAGCTTCCTTTGACTGGTTAGTAGTCCAATGCCTTAGACACTACACCACCAGAGCTCTCGTGTTATTCTTACAGTCTTCTATTTATATAAGCTACTCCTTTGCCTGAAACATATTTCTCCTCTTTTGTTACCTGTATCATATCAATTTGATTTTAAATATACAGCTTAGGTACAATCTAGTTTTCCTGCAAAGACCATCTCTGAATCTCCATATGTTCCCACAATACCCAGGGCTTATTTCCATCATGGCCCTTGTTGTAAAACATGATTATTTATTTCCTTATTTGCTGATTTTCTCAACTAGACTTTAAGATCTTTGAAGGTTCGGATTCTACATGTTCTGTGTCTTCAGCATCCACCAATGAGGCAGCACAGAGGAGACATTCAACAACTATCTTGGGAGTTCTGGTGGCATAGTGCGTAAGGCATTTGACTGCTAACTAGAAGGCTGGTGGCTCAAACCTACCAGCCACTCCTCGGAAGGAAGATTAGGCAATCTACTTCCATAGAGACACTGTCTTGTAAACCCAATTATGAGTCCAGTAAATGGGTCCATAAACTATTATGAGTCTAATCGACTCAAACAACTATCTTGTTGTTGTTGTTGTTTGCCGTCGAGTCGGCCCCAACTCATAGCGACCCCTCCTTGGGTTTCTGAGACAGTATCACTACAGAAGTAGGATTGCCCAACCTTCCTTCCGAGGAGTGGTAGGGAAGGCTAAATACATAAAAGAGCAAACATTGTTTCTCTGTTTGCTATTACTGTGATATTATCTAGGGTATGTTACAATCCCCTCCCATCCTCCAGACCCTTATTTCCAAATGTCACACCCTTACATCAAACTCAACACATTGCAAACCCAAGTCATTCTACCTCCACTCACGTGTGTCTAACTCAGTTAACACCTTATCATCTGAAGTCACCTACTGTGGCCAACTAAGAATTATTTTGACTTCTGCCCCTTTTTCCTCTCTGCTGTGCTTTTCCTTACATGCTTTCCTCAAACTTGACTACATTTTCTCCTTCCTCATCTTTTGAACACCTGCTTGTCTTTAAGACTCAGTTCAGATGTAACTCTCAGGCTATGAATTCTTTCCTAAATCACAGCCAGAATTAATTTTATTAGATTTATTAAATTTAATAAAGTTCTTCCTTAGTACTTTCACAGAACCTCATCTGCGGTGTCACATGTAATGTATTCTTTTGTCATCAGTGACTTGCATCTATCTCTTTCACACACTGATTAGAACTTTAAAAGGAGGAAATATTTTCACTAGAAGAGGAAATAGATCCATGAAAATATAAAGAAAGGGCAAAGGAAGAAAAGCCTAAGAAAGAAAATAGAAAAGCAAGCAAAAGAAAAATTCTTTAAAAAATTGAGGGGAGATTCTAGGAAATTTTAATACAAAGAAATCTAGGAGAAAATTACCTTTGAAAATGTATTTTTAGTCTTTTGGTTATTTAAAATACTGTTGTCCAGCCACGTACCTCCTACATCCTTCCACACACATATTCTCCATAAGGAGAATTCATGTGTGGATTCCTCCTGAAACAAAATGTAAAAGCTTTTGCATAAGAACAGGGGCTCTCACTGCTGAAGGGAGTCCTTAGCTGCCCTCACTGTTTACCTGTCTCCCACTTCCGTGGTCTTCATCTTCTGCATACTCCCTGATGCTATATAACTTACCTCACCTCAATTCTGACTTCTTGGCTTCCTCTTGTGTGCATGTCCTATGTCTGAATTATCTTTACCACTTTGTCTTGGCTCTCTGGATGTTTGCTTACTTTCTACTTCTTGCCCTCAGATTCTCTCTGTCAGAGGCTTATGAAGACAAAATAGGTACTCTCCACACTTATCCTTTTTTTTTTTGTTTTTTTTTTTTTTTTTTTTTTTTTTTATCCGTCCCTTTTTTTTTTTTTTTTTCTCTTCTACTTCAGGGTAATACAGTCTATATAAATAGGATTAGAAAACAGTAGCTGTTATAACACGCACATTTCCAAATCATAATGGCTTAACACAGTGAAAGTTTATTTTTTATTTACCCAACATAGGTTGTGAACTTTCTTATCACTTCTAGTCCGGAGGCTCTTCTGCAACATGAATCAACTCCTTGCTTCTGTGTTCTGAGGTCCTTTCTATAATGTCCCCATTATAGAGCTCTGGTGTGTAGTGCCTAAGGCATTTGACTGCTAACCAGCCACTCCTCAGAGGGAAGACCCGACCCGCAATCTACTTCCCTAGTGATAACTGCCTCAGAAACCCAAGGAGGGGTCACTATGAGTCTAAATTGACTTGACGTCAGTGAGTTTGGTTTTTGGTTTTACACTAAAGGGCAATGGGAAGTGTGTAGGCATCAACCATGGACTGGAACTTTAAAGGCCATTTCCTGTTTCTTTACATCCTCAGAAGGAGCTCTGGAGGTGCTGCTGTTAAGGTATTGGGCTGCAAACCAAAACATCAGTTGTTCAAACCCACCAGCCACTCTGGAGAAGAAAGATGAGGCAATCTGTCCCTGGAATGATTTATAGCCTTGGGAACCCTATGGGGGTCACTATGAATTGGAATTGACTCAACAGCCATGGGTTGGATTTGGTACACCCTCAGGACACCTTCATCTCTTTTACATCATGTCCCTCCCCTCATTTGACTTTCTAAAGTCCAAAGCACCTCACAAAGAGATGTTATTTTTGTTATGTGCTGACAAGTCGATTCCAACTCATAGTGACCCCATGTGACAGAGTAGAACTGCCTCATAAGACTTTTCTAGGTTGTAATCTTTTCTTTTTCTTTTTTTTTTAATAGTCCACACTCATTCTTAAAGATGAATCCTCCTGGTGAAAAACAATAGGATGATAGACTGAAAGCCTGATCAGATGCTCTAAGAGCTATTTAGAGCCCAAAAGTTCATAACTTCACATTTTTAAGAGACTTGAGCAGAAATCATGGATGACTCTCACAAGAGTAAGCAAATGATTGCAAATTTAGAAAATAGGGCCTCTGAGAAAAAGTAAAGAAAGCTGATAATAATTAGACTGGAAACTATGGGGATGAGGCATGACAGCTATACCTTGCTTATAAGCAGAACATACATATATATACCAGCTGCTCTCCCTTTCCATAGGGGACCTAGCCAAGAAAAGGAGGCTTAAACCTCTGCAAGGGTGGGCATAAGGAAACGTCTCCCTATTGCAAAGGGTTTTGCTTTCTCAAAGATGATGTTGAACCCCCTTCTGAAAGGATTTAAAAAGTTTAGAAACCATAGATTTCAGATGGCTCGAGTGTAGTTCTGATCTTTTGAATGTTACTAGTTGAAAACTTGCAATTTTCATTAATTATTTTAAATGAGTTTCCCTGCAGTGTCCATATGCTTTCCACATGCTTCACTGAGAATCAGGTTGTGCTGCCTGGTGCTCCCATAGGCCTCTCTTTGTGGGTTGGACGTTTGTACAGAAATCATTCCTCAAATTCTTAGAAACTCAGAATGCTTGAATAATCTGAAAAACAAATCTTTTTTTCAATCTTCTTTCCAAATATTCGAATATACTTTCTAAGTTAAGCTTTCTTGTCTTATCATATTAGCCTAGCAGTGCAGCTGGAAGCCCTCAAGACAATGCATTTTTGTTTAAATAGCCTCTATTTATAGTGTCTCACATGAAAAGAGCAAAATCAGATTGTCAGAGATTCTGTTCTGAAGCAGTCTTATGATATTTCTGTCACTGATATCAATTTTGAAAATGTAAGGTTATTTATGGGAAGGATTTTTCATCCATGGCCAAATCATGATACATATTCATGGCCTTATGACTTCAAAAAAGCTACAAAATAAATATAAAGCCAAAAACAAACTCACTGCCATCAAGTTGCATCCAACTCATAGCAATTTCTCCTTGGGTTTCCCAGGCAGTATCACTACAGAAGTAGATTGCCCAACCATCCTTCCAAGGAATGCCTGGTGGGTTTGAACCACAAGCCTTCTTGTTAGCAGTCAAATGCCTTAGGCATTACGCCACCAGCCTGTTAGCTGTTCTTTCCAAAAGCGCAGATCAGCAGCTAAGCTATAAACCTTAGTATTGATGCCATGCTTCATTTCACTGCAACCTACAAGGCAAGCATGTGTTACTTTCACATTATTCTACTTGATTTCTTAAATTGGTTGAGTTTCATGGGAAAAGACAATGAAAGTACATGATGGCTGAAGTCTTACTTTCAGAAAGTGGTGAAAGCTCTGGAATTTGGGGACATTCCTCTTCTGTCTCTTCTCTAAAGTATTTCTCAGGATCCAGAAGAAAAGCAGGTTTATTTACTTCAGGCAGCTCTTTCAGGACTCTGATACTTAATGACCTAAATGCACCTTGACAACAGCAGGTTTTAGGGGAGAATGGGAGAAAAGTACAATAGCATTAATTCTTTAGAAGAAAGGAGCACATCTCCAAGCAAAGTTAACTTTTTAAAAATTTAACCTTCCTGTTATTCAGCTGGTACAGCTGCAATGATCAGCAAACCTTATAAACACAGCTGTCCAAGATAAATCTATGGTCTTTTTTATTCAAAGAAGCCAGAAGGAATTCAAAGCCTCCCAATCATTTATTTTTTATTTTCTATTCTTTTGCTATTTTCACTTGAACACGGGTATGCTGCAATTTTGGAAAAGCTCCAGTTTCTCTTTTAACTGCAAGAAAATTGTATCCTTTGTGAAATGAAATTGATTTTTTTTTTTAATGTTTAGCAAAACACCTAAAATTTAGAATTTTCAGGTACTTTTAAATTTTGCTAAAATGTAAACCAAAGATGTGTTGACGTTGTATTTATTATGCATACAATGAGATGATGGAAAGCTATTTTAATTATGTCTTTAACAGAAAAGTTTTTGAACAAATGAAAAAGTTTTCTTTTTGCCTTACATGATAAATGGATAATGGAAGGGAAATCTACAAAAGCTTCATTTGAGTTGTGATTTCATGTTTATATTTGACTGTTAGCTTGTGAAAATAGGCACTATGTTTTTATCATCTAGGCAATCTCAATACCTAGGAAAAGGAAACTCATACATATTCAGAACCTGCTATGGAAAAGTCACGTGCTGTGTCAGTGGTTCTCAAACTTTTTAGCAGATTTCAGAGTCACCTAGAGGACACATTAAAACCTAGGCGCTATGCATTATCCCCAGGTTTTGATTTAGTAGGGTAGGATGGGGTTCCATCATTTTCAAACGTAGCAAGTTCAGAGGTTGCTGACGCTGCTAGGACAAGGACCACACTTTGAAAGTCAAAGTGCTATGTCCATCAAAGAAGAAATCTTTACAATCTGTAGGCCATCTGTTATGCCCATCTGAGAGATGAAGAAGCTAAGGCTCAAAGTGCTTTAGTAAATTGTCTGAGTTTACACAGCTAGTAAATAGCAGAACATGGATCTAAGCATCAGTATGTTTTACTCCAAAGGTATGTTTCAAGTAAGCAATAATAACAATAACAATAATATGATAATAAAATGGTATTGTATTTCTATACTATACTTAAGCACTGTTCAAAGCAGTTTACATGTAATATCTCATATAAGCTTGACAAAAATCCTATAATATAGATGAGTGTCTAAATGTCCATTGAATATTACCAAGTGATTATGCAAACTTTGACAGCAAAGTGTCATCAGAAATCCTAAAATCAACATATCTGGCACAAAGGGAAAATTTCTCTAAGAATATAAGTTGAAAAAAGATTCATAGTAAGCAAAATATTCTCGTTGTATGATGGAACATTCTCGGAAGGAAGATGGGGCAGTCTACTTCCATAGTGATACTGCCTCAGAAACCTGAGGAGGGGTCTTATGAGTCGGGTCCAACTCGACAGCATATAACAACAACAACATGACGGAACATTGAGAGTGATTCTCACCTATATTTCTAAATAATGTGCTTCAATATAATAATAATTCCCTTGTTTCAATTACTTTTTTCATAATTATTTTCTAGTCAGACAAAAACTAGATCAAGACATTGTTCTGTGTGGCTTTGGACTTTCTGGAGGAAAAAAAAACAGCTTTATTTCTTCTTCATTTCTTTAATACTTAGAATTAACATTTTGCAGCCAACTCTACTGTGGGGACTATACTATGTGCTTTACATGCTTTTTGATTTAGACTTACACTTCTGCCCTGGAAACCTTTGTTCCACATACACTGTGCTGTCTTGAACTAGTCAGTCTCTGAACCTCACTTTCTTCTTTTGTAAAACTGAGACCACATGAACTTTCCTTCAGTTTTAAAGAATAAGATCATCCCTGACATTTAAATAGCTATTTGTCTTAATTACACTAATTTATATGATACTAACATTATAAAAATATATCAACAGTGATTACTTACTGGTTGTTTTTTGTATAACTTCATAATTGTGAAGTTTACTTGTTTTTTTCATGTGGATATTTCTTTCTTTATATTTTGTACTTAAGTTTATATCTTCTGACAATCTGACACTGCAAGAAAATAATTTGTGATGGGATAAAATATTAACCACAAAGGATGAACAGACATTTTGTGGCTATAACTATATATCTTATTTTGACAAAAAGCATTTCCATTCCAGTGGACCTATGTAGTGACATTTTTCACATTATCTAAGCCATATTTTGAATAAAATACTTGCTAACCAGATATTGATATAAAAGGATGAGAGCCAGAAAGGCTAAGAAGCTGGTTTAGAAAAGACGTTGTCTCCATAACAACTAGAAGGTCAGAGAACAAACTATGCAGAGAAATATCCTTTCCCTATGTGTATATTATGTGGATTAAATAATAACCCATAACTAGCATCAGTAATATGTGTCAAAAGCCTATTTTTCCCAAATTAGTCTCAGATCTTCGCTTGTGGTATCCAACATGCAAACAAGTTCAGGTTTTTTTCAGGCTTTCCGTATGGATCTATAAGAAAACTTTAATTTAAATCTGCAGAAAAGATTTTTTTGTCAAGAAAACATGGGGAGTAAAGTCATTAGCTACATATAATTCCAGAAATCAGAATATAGTTTTAAATACATTCAACATTCACTTTCACACACTATCCTTAGGAGCTGTAAGTCACGTTGCCAAAAAAAAAAAAAAAAATTATTATTATTCTTTTGGAAACACCAGGCAGGAAAAACTTCCCATCTTTTAATGAGATCATGCTGTGCTATGGGGATTTGGATGCTGCCCTGCCCTCTCACTTCTGCCTCCCTTTCTTGCATCCCCTATCTCTTCATTGTTACTAGTCCTTAAACCCCTAGCTTTTATCCCCACTTCTGCTAAGTATTTAGTAGCTGTAGGACCTTGAGATGTTTTCTAAACTCTCAGTGTCAGTTTCCTTCTGTACAAAATGGGATTTTTTTGTGGTTTTAAAAGAGGTAAGTAACATGGAGCAATGTTCAGTGATGGGCCTAATAAATAACAGTATTCAACAAATATTAATTTTCCACCTTCCTTTCCCTCTACTCTAATTGCATCTAAAATATCAATACAAAGAATGTAAAATATCAATATAAATGAAACTATTCATTTATCCTTCATTTTCTTTATTCATTTTTTTATATTTAAATGCACATTTTAAAAAAATTTGAATAGTTTTAGATTTATAGAAAAATTGTGAAGATAGTGTAGTGCAGAGAGCTCCTATATATTCTTCACATAATTTTCCTCATTGCTAACAATGTACCTCATCATTTGGTGAAACTGAAAAATCAATATTGGTAAAATATTGGTATATTACTACTAACTGAACTCCATATTTTATTTGGGTTTTAGCAGGCTTCTTTCCTCCCCTTCATGACCTTTTCCTGTGCCAAAATCCCATCCAGGATACCACACTGCATTTAGTTGTCATGTCTCCTTAACCTCCTCCGGTCTGTGAAAGTTTCTTAAACTTTGATTTTTTCTCAAGTTTAAAAACCTTGACAAGTTTAAGGAATAAGGTATTTTGTGGAATGTCCCAAAATATGAGTTCGGCTCATATTTTTTACATTTAGACTAGAATTACAGATTGTTGGGAGGGAGATAAGAAGATAAAGGCCAATTTTCATCTCATATTAAGAGTACATGATATCAACCCTTTTTTAGTGCTGATGAGGTTTCACCTTGATCATCTTGCTGAAGTAGTGTTTGCCTTGTTGTTATGTGCCATCGAGTCAGGCCCGACTCACAGTGTTTCCTTGGGTTTCCGAGACAGTTATCTCTATGGAAGTAGATTGCCCAACCTTCCTTCCGAGGAGTGGCTGGTGGGTTTGAACCATCAGCCTTCTGGTTAGCAGTCAAGTGCCTTAGGCACTATGCTACCAGAGCTCCTAGTTCTCCTTTATAAGGCTAACTTTTCCATTTCTTATTCTGGGAGCAAGTCATCAATTACAGCCTATACTTAAGGAGACTGGGTGGAGTTAATCTACATAAATTTTTACATACACATAAAATTATTTTAAATTGTAGATTAAAAAAAAAAAATAGGAAAGCGTTTCCATCTAAAAGCCTCAGGGCAAATAGGCAGTTTTTCCCCAAATCAAAGTCCCCCTCATGATATGTGATCTCTTCACATAAGAATACATTATTTAGCCATTTGAGATTTGGGGACAAGAATGATGGGGCCCTTAGAGTGTCCTTTTAGGAATTTAAGGGAATCTTTAATCATAAGATAAGAAGCTCTAGTGGTGTAGTGGTTGAGACATTTGGCTGCTAACCAACTGGTCAGTGGCTCAAACCCACCAGCTGCTCCATGGAAGAAAGATGAGGCAGTCTACTTTCATAAAGATTTACAGCCTTGGAAACCCAAGGGGTTGCTATGAGTCAGAATCAACTTGATGGCAGTAAGTTGGGTTTTTGGTTTTGGAACCATAAGATATTGATGGTGGATACTCAAAGTGTCATGGGGTGGTATGGTTGGGACTTGCAGGTTTTGTTTTAAGAAAACCTTTTTTTTTTTTAACCCCCCAAAAAGCATTTTTGATACAAACTGAGGTGCAAATGATTCAGGGTGGTCTAGAAGTAGGAAGGTTCTTCTTTTCACTGGTTAGATTCTGAGCTTTGTCTTATTAGGCCCTGTTTTGAGGATTCCTTTCCCTACTTTTAGACCATTTGCTTTCTGGTTCTCTCATCAAATGGTATGTCTGGAAGTTCAAACCCACCAGCCACTCCTCAGAAGGAAGGTTGGGCAATCTACTTCTGTAGTAATACTGCCTCGGAAACCCAAGGAGGGGTGGCTATGAGTCGGGTCTGACTTGATGGCACATAACAACAACATGTTTTGTATAAGATAAATATTTTTCCCATCCCCACAGAAGAATTTTAGCAATACAGGGAGAGAAGCAATTAGAATATAAGACGATATCTTCTTAGAACTGCAATAAATTACATCACTTGGATGACTGCCTAGGAAATATGGCTAGATTGGTAATGCTTCAAGACAAAGGGGAGCTCTATGGACCACTAGACTGTAAATTCACCACACATTCAAAAGTCAACCTATTGCTTTCTTTCTATACATGTCTCTCACCTGGGGTGTGGGTGACATGGAAATGCAGATAGAACTGGAAAAAAGTAGATACATATCCCTGAGAAGTGATTTAAAAAAAAAAATCCATTGCCATCAAGTAAATTCTGACTTATAGTGATCCTATAGCACAGAGTAGAGCTTCCCTATAGGGTTTCCAAGGCTGTAAATCTTTATGGGAGCAGATTGCCACATCTTTCTCCTATGGAGCACCTGGCAGGTTTGAACCACTGACCTTCTGGTTAGCAGTCGAGTACTTCATCACTGTGCCACCAGGGCTTTAGAAATGAGAAGAGGATAAAGGGGAAGAATGTAATGAAGGACTGTGATGGCATTTAAAAATATTTGCAAGGATGTCAGATGGTAATGCAAGAAGTGGGCCTACTATGGACTCTCCCAGCCTCACATCAGTCGTATGAAAAGGAAAATTTCTAACTGGTCTCTTTTCCCCGAGCTGTAAGAATGGAGACCATAGGCAGTGACATAGTGCCCCTAGTGCCTTCCTAGACATAAAAAGAAGGTTCAAGTGCCTAGCACAGATACGTAGACATAGAAGGTCCTCAACAGATGCTTGGTAACTTGAATCTGAAACTAATTATTTTTAAATTATTTCACATGGCACTTGCTTATTGTGCAGGCAGCAGAAACTTATAGATATATTGTACTGACTCTGGAGTCAGAGTTTGGATCCCAGATTCTTCTTGCTGGTTGGTTGATGTGGGAAGGTCACGTAACATATCTCTGCCTCAATTTCCTTAGCCATGAAAGGGGGATGATCATAGTAGCTCTCTCTTAGGGCCAGAGTGAAAATTAGATGAGTTAATACACATAAAGTCCTTAGAATAGTATATAAAATATGGTAAGAGTTCAAAAAGTGTTGGGTTTCTCTTTCAATAAGAAAATGCTTTTCACTTAAAGCAAAGAGTTTTACTACAGCAAATTCTACTACTCCTGGGAACTAGGAGTTACTTACTGATAAAAGACAAAAAGTAAGGAGATGTGGAAATCCCAAACATAATAACTTGTTGCACGGTAATTTTAAGACTTAAAAATTGAATAGAACCCAGATATAGATCCATCGACCTATAGTCAGCTGATCTTTGACAAAGGC